TGGTCTGCTAGAGTTAATGTGTAAATTAATACTTGTTCTCTGTGATTTTGCTAGTTTATTTAATGATTTAACAAAACTGGAAAATGCTGTAAACTAGTAAAACAGCTAAGAAAATTATTTACAGTTTACAGTTTATTGCTTACTATATATAATTTTTCTTGCAAATAGTCTCAAATATATGTAAAATAACAATATTATTTGCTGATTTAAATACAATGAAATATGGTGTTTTTTTCAGTCAAGCTTTGTACAAGAGTCAATTACTATGTATTTTTAAAAATGCTGTATTTTGATGGAAATGTTATATGCAGTTTTGATTTTGCTAGTTATTTTCTAAATTTTCACAAAACCAAAAAAAAAAAAAAATCTGAAAAAAATAAAAGTAAATTGTTTAAAAAGAAAATAAAATTACAGTAAAGAATTAAATGTCCTTGGGTTTCCAAAATAGATTTTCAGCAACTTCTGTCCCATTGGGAAACATGTTTGTTAACCAATGTGGAGATTTGCTTCTTTTCAGATGCTTTTTTGTTTTTTTACATCATTATAATGTGAAAACTGCATTTTAATAACACAATTTGTCCTGCTGGTCAGACAAAACAAGCAATTTGCGGACATCAGCTTAGGCTGTGACAAAAACCGTCCGCAAAATAATTAATTGGCCATTCAAAACAATCAGTGACAAACGAATGCATGCTGAAGATAAGAGACAGTTTTCTTTTCTTTATGATGTGTGTGTGAACGTTAGACGCAGCCTTTGGTAAAAGACGTATTGTCGTTCCTGGACACTTTGACTCACCACAGCTGGGCTTTACACCACACTTGGCTTCAGATCAGCGCGGCTCGACTAGTACTAATGATAATGAAGCCAGTCGCCCACAGCAATTAATGCACTTAGCTGCTAATGATGATTAACTGTGGACTGTATTTGATTTAGGAAGTTGATAAGCTGCCTCCGAACACAAACAGGTTAATTAGTGGCACGTCTCTGTGAAAGGGGGTTTCAGCGAGGAGCCCGGTCCATTCATGGAGGATGTAAACAGCTTTGTTTTGAGCCTCTGATCGCTTTAGCGGTCTGACAATGTTGTTTTATGAATGTGAGGAAGAAAATGATGATGAAGACGTCAGAAGGAAGAGTTGTGAGTCTCCACAGGCTGAAAGGCACAGGGAAGCTTTCTGCTCTCCACTAATGGCACATTCTGTCATGTAATTATCGTCCTCGCTGGATGACTTCTTAAACCTCTTTTTTTTTTTTCTTCTTTTTCTTAATCATTTCAATTAGTTATGGTTTACAGTTTGCCGAGAGCGTCGTCGCTGATAAACAATCGGGCAGAATCAAATCAAAGGAAAGGGGAGTGATATTTCTGAGAGAGACGCTGTCGGCATCTGGAGGTTTTATTTTACAGAACACCTCATCTGACCAGGAAAATTTGAGCTAGTGCGTAGAAATGTGTTCCCTCAATGAATAACAGCCACTAAAATGCCCTCCAGTGAAGCACATGCCGAGTAGTACGGGCATCTAATCTCACAAATCTGTCTTTAAAATCTCTCTGCGGTCAATGAGTAAAACCCCCAAAGACTCATTTCTGCACATCACAGTAATAAATTAGAGGAGTTTCCCGTGAAAATAGTCCCTAAACCTTTAAGATCAGATTAGATTCAGCTCTGGGTCGCTGATATTATCAGGGTTGCTTTCTGTTTATCAGTGATCTGATCTGAATGGATGATGACGCGCCTACTGAGAGCAGGAGAAGGTGTGTGAAAATGTTATCTGATGATATGGGCCAGAGCGGGTCGATGCCATGATGCTTGTTTCACCCATGATGTGTCTTCCAGCATATAAAAAAAATTAGAAAACCTGGACGACACCTTAGAGGGAAAAATCTACCACTAAATACTGTTCATATTGTTTTTTATGGGATTCCTGTCAAGAATTCCCTCATAGCAAGTGTCCATCCCAAATGTTAAACTACAGATTAATGCAGAATGTCTCAATAGGCTGTCACATTAATATGTCACAGCCTGTATATTAATATTCAGAGATCAAAATTGATATCCCAATTCCAGCACAGTGAACGAATAGTTGGCTATTCGGGTCCAGCCCTAGTATAAAAATCCACATTTTAAATACTCGGGGTCATATTTGTGCTTTGTCATCTTGCATCCCAGCATCAACACAAACTCAAAATGAACATCAAACTATGGTTACCGTGCCTGTCAAAATAAAAGTCTTTTCAAAATAAGTCCAACCTGAGACGCACATTATATATTATTTGATTTTGACCAGCTGTCCGCGACCCACCCAGAACAGGTCCGTGACCCACTTTTGGGTCGCGACCCACCAGTTGAGAACCCCTGCCCTAAAACCACCATCTTCCTTGATTTGACCCACACTGGTCAATCTAAAATCCATCTCGCAAAAATATGTCGCATCCTTACAAAAGTTTTATTTAATTTTTTAATTTAATTTTTTTGGGTCACTTTAGGAAAAGTCATTAAATTTCAGGCTAAAAGACGTTTAGGGTGTTTTTACTGCTGTCAGATGTCAAAATGAAACAGCATGTAAGGGTTTAAGCAGAAGATTTTCACTTCTTGGGTATAATAAACAGAAGTTTAAGCAGTTCCAACGATGGAACTATAATAACAAAGTGATAAATCTAGTTTAACCTCCTGCAGGTCACCAGCGACCAGTTTATGCCAGTTAGCAGCTTTTATCAATGTGGACACGCAACACATGGTCAAATTCCACAATTAAACTGTTCAGCTCACTTTACAGAAAGTCGTAGCTCCCATAAGGTTAGGCCGAGGTGTCTGGTCGACGAGATCTATTAGATATGTGGTAATTGGTGTAGGTGGTAAAAAGCATGTCTGAGAGAATAGAAACTAACATTTTTCAGTCATGTATGAACCGATGCAGTTCAAGTTGTATTTCAGCTACATGCTAACCAAGTGTATTTTCAGAAAGTAGGATATGTCATCTTTCAGTTGGACTTTCATACATGGATTCTGGCCCTGGGTGCTTCTGTTATAAGCGTTTTTATTTGTGTGGACCAGATTCCACGAAAAGTGCTGCATGTTGAGAGGATGTCTTCCAGCTTGTTGTGGATTAAAGCCTGCAAACCGAAGCGGATGCAGTTTTTTTTTTCAAGCATAAAAACGTTTTGGCCACAGTATACAACCTACACAGTGGCTTGCTTGTGAAAATAGAGAAAAATTCAGCTGCAAGAACCAAACGTTTTTCTCAGAAGATGGTGGAGACCAAAAACGGAGCTAAAAGGAGCGACTTTGATGAACCATTAACCTGAAATGAACACTAACGTTCCTACATATCTGATGATAATTTATCAGTGTTGCATGTTGCGCTTGTTGCGCTGAGCCTAAGTGGCCAAATATCAATAATTACGGGATTAAGTTGTCAACAGATGAAGTATTCTGCAGATATTTCATGCTCTGCTCATTTTTAACTCCTCTTTTCATAAATATCCCCGAACTTTACATGAAACCAGTGCTTCTGTGTTGTGTTTTTTGGCCTTCGTGACTCACTATAAACCCTCCAACATGCTAACCGGGGTTTCCGGCTGCCTGCCAGCTACTCATGACAGGTCGACGCAGGTTTTGTTGTTGTTGTTGTTGTTTATTCACTGCCCGAAAAAAAAACCCTCCAACAGGAGCTGCCAAACAAAATCCTGTCATCCTGTCTGCTGCCATATTGACAGTAGCAGCTCTGGCTCTTACGTAACACACAACTTATCCCACCAACTGGGAAGTTTCACGATTTACAGACGTCCCCAAGATTTTTTTTTTTTTTTTTTTTTGGAGATTAGCAATGGAGGACAACCAAAGATTGCATATTGCAACTATAACTGGTAAATTTTTTGGAAAATCCAAGTTGTGGTATGTTTTGAATTATTTATCAATAAATTCACAATAATAATAAATGTGCCCACATAGTTAATCTGTTTGAGGTAATAAATAATATGAAGATATTTATTGCTAATTTTATTTTTAAGATATTGAAATATTTGAATCAATCTTTTGTTATCCTGTATTGACAGTGGGTGTCTGATTTACTGATTAAGATGAGGAAATAAACAAATGTTTATATTTATTGCTTCATTTTAAATTGTCATACTGTCTAATTGAGTAATTTGAGATAGAAAATAAAACAATACAATAATAATAATAATAATAGAAGTGATAATAGTAATGATAATAACATTAATAAGAAACATGTCCATGTAATTTATCTGTTTGAGAATTTATAAGTAGATATTTATTGCTTAATTGTAAATTTTTATACAATTAGCATCTATTTTATTTTTTAATTATTGACAGTGGTTGTCTTAATTTACTCATTTAGGATAGAAAATTATAAGAATTATAATAATAATAATACAATTTATTATTATTATTATTGTTATTGTTATTATTAATAATAATGATAATAATAATAGACGTATTTATAATTAATCTGTTTGAGCAAATAAATTATATGTGGATATTTATGGCTTCATTTTAAATGAAACTATTTAAATCTATCTTATTTTATCTTGTACTGGCCGTGGTTGTCTGATTTACTGATTTGAGATGGGAAATAAAGTAGCAGAGAGTTCTGTAAAATTCATTCACTTCATTAGAGCTTATGTGTAATTATTACCCCCAAACTCGGTTATCTGACCAAAGCTGTGAGCGATAACGCTTTGAAAGATGTTGAACTGATATCTGGAGCCTGCGATGGAAAATTTGCAACAGTTCTGTTGATTCCTATCAGACGTTTCTCCTTTAATAAACCTCCCGCTCATAAAAACGACCATAATCCTTCCTCTGCCTCGGCCGATCCAATGATCAGCGACTTATATATTACAGCTCGGGGTCAATACACAGCCGTCACATTTCTCTCTTTCTCATTAACCTGCTTTCTTTCTTATCTACGTTTCTTCCATTTTCAGTTTTCTCCATGCCTTCCTCCTGCTCATCCTCCCTCTTTTCTCTCCTCCACAGCCCTGTTGTTAGCTGACGGTAAGTTTTCCATTCCTCCTCTATCAGCATCCCCACTAACATCCTCTTCTCTGTGTGTGTTGTGGTTTGAATTTAGCCTTAAATGATGTAAGAAATCAACATTCACGCTGCCTCTGATGAAGATTTCGAGTCAAACTTTGAGAGGTTTGATGTAAATGAGCTGCACGCCGACTCCGTTATCCTCCTCTGCTGTCACTGTTGCCAACAATACCTGCTTTATTGCGTCCCTCTCTCGCTTAATGATGGATTTGCACGCTAATCAGTGGATTAATTAATCATAAACCCACGAATTACGCTCTCCAGTCGAGAGCAAGGTAATGTACAAACACTTGATAGCTGTCAAGATAAAAAAAAAAAACAACAACCTGCAGTTCTGAAATTAGAAATTGAATTACCTTTGTGTGATTGTGCTGTTATTATTATTCTTATTATTATATTTCCCTGTCAAGGAGATTGTGTCATGTCGCAGAGAGAAGGAAATAGCCGGATAATCAAATTTTAAACATGAGCATAAGAAGTCCTGTCAGGAGTTGAGGGTACACACTGCCTTGGGTGTGTAATTGATTTAGCTTAAAAGTGTGTGCCATGCATGAATGTGTGTGTGTGTGTGTGTTGCCAGCACGCCCTCCTATCAAGGGGACTCGGCTGTGATCTTTAATGGCAACGTTAATATTTAATGGTAAGCGTGTTGTCAGCAGGCTGGGACTAGGGGGCTCGTATAAAAGATGACAAGGCCTCTGCACCAGGTGGCTCAGCGGGGGTGTCGCACTCCGAGCGGGATGAGAGGCCCTTTGGATGCACAGGCGCTCCCTCTTGATGGAGTTCGACGGCAGAGGATTGATGTTATGGGGCTCTTTGTAGTGGCGCCGCCAAACTCCGGAGCTCTGTGAAGCTGCTTTTCACAGGACACACGTCTGATGGGCAGATAGACGCATTGATCGGGGGGCTTCCACAGGCGCTGGGGATAATGGCAGAATTCTAAGTTTGGGAAAAAAAAATGTAATTATTCCTTGATGTGTTTTGACAGTCGATGGGTGGCCTTTACAGCGGTTGATTTGTTGTTGGGGGAAGCCGCGATGTGGCTTTAAAATTCTTAAAGTTCATTCTTGACCTTGATGAGCTTGATGACTGCTGATGCTACATTCAAAATCGACTTTCCGTGCAGTCTATTTTTATGGTTTCAGTTCAGTTACAAGGAAATGAATTGTGTGTGTATGGTTCAATTAGTCTTAGTTCAACATTATTGTTGTTACTGGAATGGATGAGGAGGACATCGGTGCTGCTCTTCCTCACAGGGATGAAGGAGGAGAGAAGACTCTTCAGCTCAGGCAACCTCAGCTGGATGTTCATGTTCTCTGTACATAACATAACATCAGACTAGATGTTCCCAATGATCCACATCATGGCTGGAAGGAAAAGACACAAACAGTGAGACAAAGATCTACAAGGTTCTTTCATTCCAACTGCTGGAACATGAAATGTGAAAGTGAACACAGCAGGACGTGACTGTAGCACAACATAGAGTGTGAGGTTTTTGACATATCCTTTAATCTTAAGGACATGTTTGTTTCCTTGGATGAGGCCATTTCACTGCCTTAGAAGGACAATAAAGTTTATTCTTTTTATTCTAAAGTATGATCATGTGATTAATAGAGAAAAGGGGAAACCAGCCCTCTGATGACAGGAGCTCCTCTATCGTCTGATAAACACTGATGTAGAGGAACAGTCTGCTGGACTGATTGACATTAAATAACAGGAACTGTGGCTGAGCTCTGAGGTTCAGTGTGATGCTCATGTCGTGGTGATCAGACCTCAGTAGCTTCACTGTTTCTGGAAGAGAAGGAATCATTTCAGCAGATGTTTGTCTCAGTGAAATGAACAGAAGCTGTTCAAAACCAGAGAACAGAGACATGAGCTGAGAGATGAACACTGACAAGTGTTCTGTGGTGTAACGTCAGCTCACTGGTCGAGGCAGATGGCTGCTCTCCCTGAACCTGGTTCTGCCGAAGGTTTTGTCTCTTTAAGGGGAGTTTTTTTGGAGTTTTTTTAATCCCACTGTTCCGTTCTCTCTGCGATATAATATTGTAAGGTCATGACCTCACGACATAATGACTTATGTTGTGGATTGACACTGTATAAAAGAAATTGCATTGAATTGAATCCATATTGTTGTATGATTGTACGTATTTTTGAAAGCCATCTTACAGAAATAAAAACTCTTCAATTCACATACATCACTGATTAAAGTCAAAAATGTTAAATTAAAAGCCATTTCCAGAGTTTCCATGTTGACTTAAAAGACAGCAGGACAATTAAATAGATTACTGCTGATTGGTTTGGACAAAACGAAACAACTTCTCTTCCATAAATTAACCAGCGAAAGCAAAGTTCAAATACAAGTCAGGCTGTATTTGTTTATTCATTTGATTATTTTATTTTCAGTTTATATGGGTTACACTTTTTTTTGTTGCCTTCATTAAGGCTGATGAGAAAACATGAAGGATTTTTCATGGATTTGGAGAATCTGGAGCATGAAAGTCATCGTAAAGTCCAACACCGGTGGATAAAAATAGAATAAAGGAAAATCAAAGGGAAAAAAAACATTTGCACCCAATATTTGCCGAGTTGCTGAGTTTGTGTTTTGATCGATATAAAAAGCATGTTTGCCCAGCCTTTACATAACAAAGTTGGAGCTCAACCAAGACATCTGACGGAGAGAGAAGCGTTGAGGGAGTCGGCATTACTACAGTGAACCTTGTAGTTTTTCACAGATGTGACTTAAACACTGCATATTAAACAAGCCTTGTCTCTCCATAAAGCCTGAGGCTGAATAAAGGCTGAATAAATAACCGTGACAAATAACGCAACCTTCTGATGTTTTGTTTGTGTGCTGTGAAGTACAACACAACACAATAATCAGCTGAGCGTATTTTTTGATTGCCATCTTTCTCACTGTGGTGTTTCTTTCTTTCTTTTCTTTTCTTTTTTTTTTTGTTCCCTCCTGCCCTCGATTGCTCAGATGTACCAGACAGGAAGCTGACATCAGACGAGGAGGAAGCCAAGCGGATCGCGGAGATGGGGAAACCGGTGCTGGGGGAGCACTCCAAGCTGGAAGTTATTATTGAGGAATCATACGAGTTTAAGGTGGGAAAGGTTGCTCTTCAAACGGAGGAAACATACCTTGATCGTCAATAAAAAAACAGAGTTTCCCTTGCAGTCAAGCAGAAAGCAGATCATCAGGCAGTAAGACTGATGAATCACTGCCAAAGGACTTAATGCAATCCTGCACTACTCTATAGGTTTTTGCACATGTCAACCTTTGCACTATGCTTTCTTCTGCACATGCCTTTTTGCATATTCAGCATCACCTACCTCAGTACATCCTAACTTTTCTGCACCATAAATATGTTTTGCCTTTCCTGCACTCGTCCTCTACATTCATATTTGCTATCTCGGTATATATGAGCAGACGTAAGTGTGTCTGAATAAGTGAACTAAGATTTTCATTGCACTGATAACTTGTTTATCGCCGCGTATGACAATAAAGCCTTTGAATCCTTTGAATCCGAACTAATCCCACCTTGCATGAGAGGACGGCGACACATTTCTAATTTCAGCGGAGAAATGTTACTCCTCAGAGGCCTCCCAAGCCCACGCAGATTTATTTCTGGAGGAGAAGCATCCTCTAACCTCCTCAATCAAAAAAAACATATCCCCACCATGTTTGTTTCTGTATTGTGTTTCAAACCGGGCTTTCTGGAACTGGATGGTACTGCCATCATGTGGTGAAGCTCGTGTATTTCTCTTCAGGAGCCTCTCAGGATGCAGATTAGAGATTCTGAGAGTAAATAATGGATGGATTTGATTCGTGTTTTGTTGTCGTGTCATGCAGAGCACAGTGGACAAGCTGATCAAGAAGACCAACCTGGCTCTGGTGGTGGGAACAAACTCCTGGAGAGACCAGTTCATGGAGGCCATTACAGTCAGCGCAGGTAATGTTTTCAGCTCCAGGAGGCTGATAGTGGATTTTGATGTGTTGATTCATAACATTCACCTTCATTTCAACATGAGCTGCATTTCTCTAAATGTCAAGCCGAGCTCTTAAACCCTGACAAACCGTTTTTGCATCAGATAATCAAACTTAAAGACGGAGAACATCATCGAACGCAAATAGTTGTTCCCGCTGACTTGAGTCTAAAAATATTGGTGTCAGTATCCGACCTTCAAAGACACACATCAGTTAAATTCTCCCAGGTGCGCCGCTCTTGAAGCTGTGGAATAATCTCATGTACAAACCTCATCCATCACGTCAAACAGCAGCAGCATCAGATCCTCAGCCTGCAGTCACAGCTACTATGACGGCCCGGGTTTGTCACTTTGCTGCTGAAATATTTAATCCGGTGATGGTCTTTATTTTTTCATGACCCACTCGTAGCTTAAAAATGCATGCAGCTTGCACGGCCCTGACACTTTGAATCATCGCAGCGTCCCTGCTTGTCCCCTGAGCTTCCTGTGAGCTGCCGGGACACAGAGGACGCCTCCACCTGGGGAGGGTGACCACGTACTTTTTTAGCTGTGAAAAGATGACGCTTTTATCCAGAGGAGCTCACAGCGTGCAAGGTTAAGTGTCCTGCTCGAGCTCACTTGGACAGAACCTGCAGCTGCTGTGGTGACTGGGACCATTTAGATTATGGGAAAATCGCTCCGTGGCCACTTGGTCATCCTGCAAAACAGTCACAGCAGATACACAAAACTGCAGCAGTGATTAGAGTAAACATAGGATGTGTCCCGAAACCTCATACGAACTGTCATAGTGGAAGGTTAGGTACCAAAAACATACTTACTCAGCATTTTAAACGAGCAGGCTGTTATTTGGAAACATGCATCACTGGGCATTAATGAAACTGCAACTTTGGAAAATCACTAAAATAATTTTTAAGATTTCTTCCTGATCTGTGACCATCAATTTCCAAACACAAGTTTACATACACTTGTAAAGATCATGTGTATCATGGCAGTCTTGCGTTTCCAGTTATTCCTTTAACTTATAATTTTCTATGGTGGAAACATGTCTTTCTCACAAAAAAAACAATCATGCATGTTAATTATTTTATAGATTTATTGTAGGTCAGCTGGAAATATATCAAAAATCTGCTGGATTAAAAACATACATACAGCAACTTGTACGTCCGTTTGATGATGTGGAAAGCTGCGTTGACCAAATATTCTCAAAGCGTGGCCTCTTAGCTTCTCTCCTCCTCTGAGCCAATTTAAACAAGACCCATTTGATAAACTCACTAGACTCACAAACACTACAGTGGGAAAGTCTAAGGAGCTCAGCACAGACCTGAAAAAGCAAATTATGGACTGCAACAACACCAACACCAAACCTCCCATCAAGCACGGTGGTGGCAGTATCATGCTCTGGGGCTGTTCACTGCCATCAAAACTGGTGCTTTATACAGAGAAAATGAAAAAAATGGAGGAGGACTACTTCTACATTCTTTAGGAAAACTTGAAGACATCAGCCAGAAGGTTTGGTCTTGAATGCAGTTGGGTGTTCCAACATGACAATGACCCTGAACACTAATCAAAAGTGGTAAAGAAATGACTAAATCAGGCCAGAATTAATGTTTTAGACTGGCCTTCCCCATGTTTGTGTCAGAAACCCAACAAATTCTGCCAATTCTGTCAAGAGGAGGGTTAAAGATTCAACCAGAAGCTTGCAGACGGTTACCACAGAAGACCTCATTGAGGCTAAAATGGCCAAAGGATATTTAACCTAACATTAGCATTGCTGTATGTCTATTTTTGACCCAACAGATTTTGTCATATTTCCAGCAGACCTAGAATTAATATACTGAGGACAAAAATGCATGTTTGTGACAAAGGCAGGTGTGTTTTCATGGTTCCATCACAGAAAATTCAGAGTTATAGGAATGACTGGACACTCAAGACCGGCCTGTGGAGTCCAGACCTCAAATACCCTGACCTGTTTTAGCCGCATGAGAGGAACCTAAACATTATTATCCAGGTGGTTTTAATGTTATGACTCACTGTGTATTTCAGCACTGGACATACAATCTTCTTAAAACCTGCTTAGAATTAGTGAGAACTTTGGATTTGGGACACACTGTGGGAGTTATTTAGCAGTAAAGTGAGCCAACATCTCAGAACCTATGCCAAGCTACAACTGAAAGTTATGTATCTATTAATTTTGTAAATCAAAATCAGACATCATTAAATAAGGTAGGGTATTCAAGTGTGAAATAAAGTTCATCCCCCGTTTTTTTTTTTGTTTGTTTATCTACAAACTTCATCTCGTCTCTTAAATGACAAAAACAAACGGCTCTGTTAAATAATTAAAAGTCAGCTATGACCTGAATATCCATATCCTCGGGCCGAAGTGATATTGTGGGATGTCTCACGCTGAGAAAATAAGTCGACACGCCATTTTAAGAGAGTTTTGTTCTCTCCCCTCCCTTCTCTGTCACCCCTTATCTCCTTTATGGATCCTTTATCTCGCCACTGTTTTCCAACTCTCCTCTGGCTCTTTATCCTCTCTGCTCCCTTTTAACTTTCTGCTACATCATCCGTCATCACTCTCTCCTTGTCTCTTTCGCTTCCTCATCTGCTCTCCCTGTCCCCTCTTTTAATATTTACTTCCCCTCCTTCACCCCTCTTTCTCTTTATCTTTGTCCAAATATTTTTGCCGTATTTCCATCCTGCCTGCTGCCTCGCTCTCTTCTGTCACCCCCCATTACGTCTCAATCCATCCCACCTTTCACCCTTCCGCCGTCTCGCCCACCAGATGAGGACGAGGAGGACACGGGGGAAGAGCGTCTGCCGTCCTGTTTCGACTACGTCATGCACTTCCTCACCGTCTTCTGGAAGGTCCTGTTCGCCTGCGTTCCTCCCACCGACTACCTGAACGGCTGGGCCTGTTTCGTGGTCTCCATCATCATCATCGGCCTGCTCACGGCCGTCATCGGCGACCTGGCGTCCCACTTCGGCTGCACCATCGGCCTCAAGGACTCGGTCACTGCCGTGGTGTTCGTGGCACTCGGCACGTCCGTCCCAGGTGAACGTCGCGCTGGACACCTTTGTTTAACACGCTGATGTCTATTATGTATAAATCTGTCCTCTGAAAGGTAGTTTGATATTTCTTATGTCAGTTGATGGATTATGCGGCTCGTATTCTGGCTGCGAGAGTTCTGACTTCATGAGCTCAAACCGCAAACATGCTTTGTCATCAGGAGGGCTGATATTCTTATTTCCCCCACATTGACATTTTCACCCGACAGGAACAATATGTCACCCAAAACTGGGACTGCCTCAGCATTTTCTGTTATTAAAGGTCCTATGCGCGCATTAATAAGGCATTACTGCATACAGTTTGAAAAAAAAAAAGATATAAATATTGCGAACAAACAAGCCCAGTGCACAAACTGAGCTCTTTCACTGCAGTTTACTTTGTTCAGTGGAGAATCATGTGGAGCACTTTGACTGATGATAGTTATGGTGGGTAATGTAGTCCTCATTTCTACAGATGCTGGTTGGGTCAAAACAATCAAATTCTATATTTTAACGCTTTTTCTTTACCTGGATGAAAAACATCATGAGGAAAGATGTGGAGGTTTGTTTGCACTTTGTGTCACATTATATTTGTGTGTGGAGTGCTATACAGAAAAGTCTGATTGATAAATCGATTGATTAACTGAAGATACTCAGATACTTTACTGTATATTTTCCGAGATAATCTGCACTCCATATATTGTGCATAGCTGTAGTACCTGGTTGCACCTACAAGTGGAGCCGCTTAATGTTTAGAAAAGCCTTTTTCAGGAGGCAAGAAGAGAGCATTATGGGGGTTTAACTTGTACAGGGCCACCACGACAAAGTCTCCCGTGGAGCTTAATGACATCAGACTGGAGATCATATGTTTGAAACAAGCTGTGATCAACACATATAACAGAGCTGCCTATGTGATCCAAACTGTGCATCTGTTAATGAATCAACTATTGATTGAAAACGCTGCATTATTTAAGAAAATTGCCGAAATGTACATCTCTAGTGTCCTGCCACAAACTGTGCTCTCCTTTTATGACACCAAGGATCAGACTTGAATGTCTTGAATGTCTTGATCAGTCATTGTCACAATCACTGATTTGGTGAGATTGTTTTGTTAATGACATTTAAAATAATGTTAAATGGTGGAGTCTACAATTCTGGAAGGAGATTGTTGGTATTTAGCATACTGAGTTGTTAGCATGTGACAGATTTATCTCTCTTATCTCTCCATCTCCCAGGCTCTAGGTTTGTCTGCCATTTGCAGAGACAGACGCCAACAGAAAGCAAGCAGACCATGATTCTGGCAACAAAAAAAAAAGTGTATTGGATTAGAATCGCACACTCCACTTTTAATCACATTAAAATGGCAATGACAAATGGCTTCTCTCTCCACAGACACCTTTGCCAGTAAGGTAGCAGCGGTCCAGGACACCTACGCAGACGCCTCCATCGGGAATGTGACCGGCAGCAACGCCGTCAACGTCTTCCTGGGAATCGGCATGGCCTGGTCGGTGGCGGCCATCTACTGGCACATGAAAGGGAAGCCGTTCGTGGTGGAAGCCGGCTCCCTGGCCTTCTCCGTCACCCTCTTCACCATCTTCGCCTTCCTGGCCGTGTCGGTGCTGCTCTACCGGCGCCGGGCCCACATCGGGGGAGAACTGGGCGGGCCCCGGGGACACAGACTGGCCACGTCAGCCTTCTTTTTCAGCCTCTGGTTCCTTTACATCCTCTTCTCCAGTCTGGAGGCCTACTGTCATATAGAGGGCTTCTAAACAGCAAAGACTCGAGTGTGACGGAATCAAAAGCGTACAGGGGTTTAAAGTACAACTTGAGTGAATTCTCACTACGGAATTTGGGTCAGTCTTGTATGGTATGAAAGGACAGGAGAGGTAAACCCGGGGTTTCCCTCGACGCCTCCCTCCCTCTCCCTCGCTCTCTCCCTCAACCCCTCCTGTAAGGATGCTTGGAGGTGTGAATCCTGCCCTCTAGTGCCGAACAGGCCTGGCTGATACGAAAGCGGCCCGAGCTAGTGTGCTTACAGTTGGGATTGGGTTACCACCGAAGTCCAGAAGACGCCGATGCCAAGAGGTGGTCCCGCATTCCACTGGAAGAGGCTGCAGTCTTATAAAACGGAGAGAGTTGAGTCAATCAGAGGTCTATATTTTTCTCAACATCTGACGAGAACGACTTTTTTAGAAAAAAAAAGTATTTTGGGGATAAAAACGCAAAAAATAAACCAAACAAAAAAAAAAAAATACAAATCAACACTCACACACATGCAGACACACAAAGAGGAATCAAAGAACTATTTTCTGATCTATGTTAAGGAATAGCATAAAAGATTATATCGAAATATGTTGTTGAGTGACGGCGGGATGGATTCATAGTATTTATTTTTATTTGCATAGTTTCCTAAGGAGCACTGCAGAGTTCTCAGAAATCACACGAAGAAGAAGAAGACGACGACGACGACGAGGAGCGACAGTGACAGTTCACACTGGCAGACGAATCACCATTCAAACAGGAGACGAGGTGAACACAGTGAACATAGTCAAACTGCCCTGAACATTACTTCCGTACTCTAAACGTATCTATATATAATATATTTCCATATTTTCTGTATATTTTGAATATTTGTTTAAATGTGGTCACCTTCTGCTCTAACAGAGGATTGCTGTGGCTAAGCGGGAGGGGAGGGAGGGGTTATAACTATATACTGGAACGATGTCTTCACATTTCTAAGAGTTATGTATCTTGCCTAGGTAAAAGTATGACATTGTATTTTATTTATTTACTGATATCTTGGTCTCACTCGAGTTTTCACCTTTTCAATCAGAAATCCGAACAAGAAAAAGTTAAAAAAAAAACAAAAAAAACAACAACAACAACAACAAAAAAGACAAATCGTGTTGCTGCAGAGATAAATTCAGAGGTATTTTTGTACTGTTCCTTCCATGCACTTTGCTGTATAGTTCTACTTATGGAGACTTCTACTTGTACATGTGCAAAAGGCCAATATGAACGGTGTCACTATGGACTGAACAGAGTGCCTGTGGAGGGAGAGGCGTTCGCTGCCCACACGGACTGACCAGCTCTTTGCTCTGCTACTCAAAAAACTCAAGAGTTTCTTCTTTAAAAGCTGCGTTAATTTTTTTTTTTTGCCTTTTTTTTTCTAAAATACAGTCGAATTTAAGGCCTGATGCCAACCTGTATTTCTAATCTTCTACAGCAGCTGATATTTGAGCTGTTGTTAGCATGCAAAAAGGTGCGTCAGCCTGCAAAATCTCAGTTGGTTTTTTTCTTTTTATAATATAAATACAAACACTTTATTCAAAAAACCTTTTAGTTGTAATCTCCACTTTCTACATTGCATCATCCAGCCATTTTCCTTCTGCTATGATTTCAAACATGTGTGAGCTGGTCAGGCAGGGAACTAACAGCAAGCTCATAGTTTGCAAATTGTCTTTGATACGGCTGCTAAAATCCAAACTTTTAAATATCTGACATAGTTTTATTTAGCTTTTAAGTTCCTCTATGGTCATTGATTTAACACCTAAAAACTCAATTCTGTGTATTAAAGTTTCTAAATTGCCAAAATACTCCACCTGTCATGCTACACATTGCATACATTTGTTTCGTAATCACTAAAAATATGAGTTTGTGCAGCTTTAAGTGTTCTCTTTTTCTTATGCATGACATTACAGACCTTGATTTGCTATCTATGTGTCATTTAAATGCTACACCTCACATTGAACATTACTTATAGGGCTTATGAATAGTCTCCCCCCCCCTCTTGGAAGTTTGGTCAATTTAATTTGGCTTTTTTCACAAGAATTTACCTCAAAAAAGACTCTTTCACGTCAAAGTGGAAACACGTTTCTACAAAGTAATGTCAGTTAATTAGAAATATAAAACATAAAATAGGTGACTGCATCAGAATTCTCCTCCTTAAAGTCAGTATTTGGTAGATGCACCTTTGGCTACAGTTACAGCTTTGAACCTGTGTGGATAGGCCTCAGTCAGCCGCAACAGCTGGATACTGAAATTTTACCTGCTTTATCTTTTTTCTGTGACGATCACGAGTGAACAGCCCTTTTCAAGTCCATCCAGAAATTCTCAACTTGATTTAGGTCCGGGTTCTGACTCGGACACTCCAGAACATTCATCTGTTTGTCTTTAAACCATTTCTGTGTAGCTTTAGCTGTTTGATTTAAGTCAAGGTTGTCACATCGCATCAGGTTGTCCACCTCTAGTTAGACCAACCAAGAACCATCCCCACATCATGATGCTGCCACCACCATGCTTTCTGCTGTGGATGGTGTGTTTGTGAGGATGCGTTGTGCTTAGTGTCCAGTCTGATGGACAAAAAGCTCCATTTTGGTCTCATCAGACCAAAGAACCTTCTTCCAGTCGACCTCAGAGTCTTCAACATGCCTTCTGGTGAACTCTAGTCGAGATTTGATATGAGATTTTTTTCAACAGTGGCTTCTTCTTTGCCACTTTACCATAAAGCTTTACATTATAAAGAACAGGACACAGTTGTGGAAGAGTCTCTACCATCTTAGGAGCTTGTAAACCCTTAAGAGGAGTCATAGATTTCTCGGTGGCCACAATCATTAAAGATCTGAGAGCCATTTTTGTCAACTCTTACCAGAAAAAGCCAAATGAAATTGATCATGATTCAATGTTGAAAAGCAGAACTGTGGGGGGAGACGTAGTTATCATACAGCTGAAACTGCTAACAGTGCTAAAATGCTAAACCAATCACATTAGACATTTTTTATGTATGTGTTTCATGAGTAATAGGAAACAATGAGTAGTCCAGCTTCAGGTAGAACTTTGCTTTACTTGACATTACAGAAATATTTGGTAAATCTAACCTCAGAAGTTTTTTGCTTGTTTTTTCAGTGCTTTAAACATTTCTGCAGATTTTACATGTTTTTTTTTTCCAAACATTTGCTCCCGTCGGTCATCATGTAAAGAGCCAACCAAGCTCACTTTGGCCTGAGACTCTTGAGTGAAGCAGCACGGTGGAGAGCTGCCGGCGTGGGCGTTTAGCGCAGCAGGTAGCTCCAGGTTGAATTAGAAAGTAGCCTGTTATTGATACTGAATGCTGTTTTAACACATGACTGGTGCTTTTTGTTTTTAAAATGACAGTTTAAAAAGAAAAAAGGAAAAAAAAAACACTTCCAAGAGCGGCGCAGAGAATATGTTTATTACTTAATTTGCATAAAGTGTAGTATGTAATCAGTCGGTTCTTGGCTAAAATTTTAAAAAATCACCCAAGAGATTACCAAAGAGGTGGGATGCAACATAAAAAATAAAAAAAAAGAGTAGATGGAAAAAGTTGAAAAAAATAATCAAATAAATGGCAGTGACACTGTATTTCCACAAGGGGGATGTCAATCTCCAGTCCCTGTGGTCGTCCCTCCTTCTTAGCACTCCTCTTCCTCCTCCTCCTCCTCCTCCTCCTCAGTGTTCTTCCTTTGTGGTGAGCAGTGTTGTAAATACGTCTCGTGGCTGAATCGGATGCTCTTTTCCCGGCCCTGGACCACACCTGCTCACCCCACGATGATCTCTCTTTCACACTCTTGCATATAAAAAAAAACACACATTCAGAGTAGAGCGATGGGTCCACTGCTGCACAAAGATGAAGGGGCCGAACCGTCCCACTCAGAGCCGGCAACACAAACAAAAAAAAAAAACACCCCACATTATGTACATAATTTTCAGTGTATGTTTACATAGACACAGTATAGGTGTCCTGTTGGGGGTGAGGTGAAACAAGCATGACAACTCTCACATCTCATCTTACAGGTTATCTGCAGTCGCTTCATCTGAGCCAGTGGAAGTGTGGAGTTCTTAAGTCAATTTTTCTGAGTCACTCGGGCTCATTTTGTTACCGTTTTTTTTTCCTTTTAAGTCCTGCAAAATGTTTAGTTTTTGTTTTTTTCAGCAGGTAATCCATGAACACAAGGAAGTGCGGGTGTTCTTAATTTTTATCTCTTGCCTTTTAGTGGCTATTTATCTTGTTTATTTGGTTGTATTCTTGATTTTAATCTGCCGGGATGTGCTGAGCTGAAAACGTTGGCCGAGTGTGTGTTTGTTTGCTGTGCATGTTGCCGTGCTGAAGCCAAGGCGTCTTCGCACTTGTGTGTGCACAGGCGGTGTTGTTGTTCACGAGGGCACGACTCTAAAATCGGTTCTGTCATTTTGTCTTAAAAATACATGTCTTAATTATGTAAAAAACAAAAAAATAAAACTAATAAAAAAAAAGATCTATATATATATTTATCATACACATCACTTCTCAAGGCACCAGTCGATTTTTTTTTTCTTCTTCTCAGCCTGTGGGATGGAAGTGAAATATCACCGTGCAGTACTTGGACTTGTGGTCGATGATGTTGTGAGACACTGAGGAAAAGTTTCATTGATGAGGTGAATACTGTTCTTTAACTTTGTTTATTTCTATTTTTTTCTTTTGTGTAACAGGTTTCAAACAAAGGGGGCGGCGGTGGGGGGGCACATTTTAATGGATGGGTTTGTTTTTCCTGGCCTGCAATGAGATGTCAAAAATAAAAAAGCAAATTTCCAAAGCTGACGGTGTTTTGAGATCAACCAGTTTTTTTGTTCTTTTACTGTTAAATAAAAATGGCTTTCTGATTCATAAGCGACTTAACGCTGGATTCACTGACTTTAATCAAGCTTGTTGTTTTGGGTATGTGTCATTTCTTGTCACAAATCATAACCTTGCATCTCCAACACGCCTTTTGTTGTGCTTTTCTTGGCCTTTATTACTGAAGAGCGACAAAGAAAAGGAGGAGAAGTGTCGCAGCCTTCATGCATGACGCACCAGATGCTTTTCATGTAGATAAAATCTCCAAAACTACTCTTATTTGAGTTTTGCAAAATAATAATATGTAAGTACACGCTGCTGTTTTAGAATATCGCAGCAAAAAAGCACAAATACATCATCACAAACTGGACATATAAAGGATTACGCTTCACTGCATATTTGCATTAAACATCTAAGGGAGGCTATTTTAAGTTGACAAAAGCGAGCAAAAGTTTACATTTTGCAATCCACAGACTAGTCAGACATGTTTTAAGCCCAGCACTGAGCCAACAGTCCTGAAAGCAGCAGAAACATGAACCCCAGATGGGCGCTTCTGTTGAAATCTGTAATTAATTCAGGGTTTTTTCAGGTAACACAACATGAAAGCCTGATTGATAATCAAAGGTTGTTTTTGTCCCTTTTCTCTGCATCTTTCTCTCTCTCTTCTGTTCGCTGTGTTTATTTGCTGGTTAATGAAAAATAAGCCTTTTAAACAGGATTATATACATAAAACAACTTCAAATTTCCAAAGCAAGAATCAAAGTAAAAGAAAACTCTGTCAGATAAAGATAATGATGGAAAGTTTAAAAAATAGTTCAACTTTTGACATATTAACTCATAATGAGGTAAAGTTCTGACTTTTAATATCAAACTTTTGCTTATTGTTTCATAATTTTTACTTATTATCCCACTTTTTAACTTAAAGTACAACATTTGACTCATAACTCATGTTTATTTTATTTTATGAGCTAAACTTTCATCCTATTATCTCATGATTTAAGTCAAAATCATAAACGAGCTGACTTTTGTCTTATTTATTTGCTTTCATTTCATCATGTTATTTTATAATGTTGGCTTCTGATGCCAACATTGTTCATATCTCACAATTCTGACTTTCTACACGAACATTTCGATTCATTGCCTTCAAATATTGACTGAAAAAGATCACACAAAAAACATACCGATACTGTTTTTAACTTTTGATTTTGTGAACATCTCTCATAGAAAAGGTTAAATTGCTCATAAAAAATTACACACTCACCTTCACAACCTGCCCTAACTCACATATGGGTTATATTAGAACAAATTATTGCTCAAAATATTAATGTTAGTTAGTTTATTTAGCTTTTCCCCACAGGGATCATACAAAACAGGGAATTCTGAGAAAGAAGGCCTCATCTGCCACCAACTGCCCTGCTATTATCTCCAAATTCTGACCTAATAAGCTATAATTTGACTAAATGCTTTATAATTTTGAAAATATAAGCAAAACGATGGACTTACCATGAGTATTTTTATATCTATCATGATAGTTTCCTCTCTTTTCCAGTTGGAAATGGGCTTCCATGCACATCTTTTTGACTGTTGCTACCTCCCCAAATATCTTATTTATCATCTCTGCGAGTACATAAACAGATTAACAAGCTTGAAGACATAATCAAACACCAAATGTGCAAACCAATAATGAACAATGTGTGTGGAAGTGGACAAGGTGACCACCAGGGTTTGTGCTTTATGTCCACAGCAGCACATTTAGGTGTCATTTGATTGGCTTTTTTTGTGAATTGGCTGCAGTTCAATCAAGTCAAAACCGACCAAAAGGGCTCTGAATCCATTAAAATTCTGTTTTTAACGAGTCTGGATTTACTGCAGATTGAATTTCTCATGCACACATTCATATAAACACTCATCACGTTGCTGAAATGGAGGATTGTTTGCTATGTTTGCTGTTTTTCTTTTTCTTTTTTTACTTCTTGCAATGACCTCTGCTTCATTTCAGGGAACTGTGCATGGAATTCTGTTATGTTTTTGCTTATTTTGTTGTTTTTGAGGGGAGCCAATAACTAAATAAAGGCGATAATTTGAAGAAAAAAAAAGAGAAAAGCTTCCCTGTTTGTGTTACATGGAGCAGGTTGATTTGACGCCGGCAGGAGGGCGGGACTTAAGCAGCTGCTGACGTGTCTGTGAGCCAATAGGAGGCCGCGGATCATTCGCACGTTGGCACAATTGGCTTATAATAAAAAACC